CCTGCATTCCCTTGCGCCCACCAAGACATGAGACGAACAGAAAGGAGTCTATGGGTATCTTTTCGCGCACACCGTCGTATCGGGTGCACTTATTCTTTACATGGGCTCTAGTTGCGCCTCACAGTCTCTTTCGGATCTCCTCCACCATGTTACTCCGGTCGACCAAAAGTCCATCCTTCTCTGGGTTGTTCTCATCCTTGATTCCCATAACCTTGATCTTGACTTTGCCATCCTTGAGCTCATCCTCTCCTAGAATGACTGTAAGCGGCACGCCTGCGACCTCGGCTTGCTTGAACTGCTGTTGAACCTTGGGTTTGAGCTTGTACGAAAATTCGGCCTTGATGCCTGCAGCCCACAGCTCTTGTGCGACTTGCATGCGCTCCTTGAGCATACCGTTGAAGCCCTTGCCGCCGAATGCCATGACAAATGCATCTACATCCTTGGCGCGCTGTGTCGATTGGCCGCGTGCCTTCATGATGCTGATGATGCGGTCGATACCAAAGGAGATGCCGACACAAGGAATAGGCTTGCCACTGAACATGCCCACCAACTGATCATAGCGGCCACCTGCAGCCACGCTTCCCACGCCAACCTCTTGTTGCTTTCCTTTTCCGGTTGGGGCTGAACCTTCTGTGACAACCTCGTAAATCAGGCCAGTGTAGTAGTCGAGACCTCGTGCAAGCGAGAGGTCAAATGATATCCTCTTGCGCGCACCAAAAGCATCCAGGTATGCGAATAGCAGTTCCATCTCTTCAACACCTTTTTGTACATCTTCCGACTTGGAAAGTTCTTCGTTGCTCTTGAGATACTCGATGATGTCGTCGCCGCCCCTGCGTTGTACCCATTCACCAATCTTGTCTGCTACCTCTGTGGCAAGGCCCTTGGTCTCCATCTCCTTCTTCACCTCTTCCCACGGCATCTGTAATGCGTCAGTGACCTTCGAGAAAACATCATACACCCCATCCCTACCTTGTCCAGCTTGTCAACTGCCGAGCTAATTGGCCGAATCAATTCCTCCTTCACGCCAGCCGCCTTGAAGATACCATCAAGAATCTTTCTGTGGTTAATTTTGATAGTATACGAATCCCACTCAAGCGCATCAAAAACATCAGTCGCAATCTTGAGAACCTCCGCATCGGGAATCATAGCATCGTACGACCCCGCAATATCGAAATCGCACTGGTAGAATTCGCGCATGCGACCCTTGGTCATGGCGGGTTGATCGCGCCGATAGACCTTGGCAATCTGGTACCGCTTAAAGCTCTGCACACTGGGGTTCATTGCAAGCCATCGGGCAAGCGGGACAGTCAAGTCGTAGCGTAGCGAGCATAGCTCGCCGCCCTGGTCTTGCAGGTCATATATGAGTTTTGAGTCTTCGCCGTATTTGCCGCTTAGAATCTCCTTGAGCTCGAACACGGGTGTGTCGAGTGTCGTGGCGCCGTGGCGCTTGAAGACGTCGGTTACCGTTTGGAAAAGGCGATCACGGAGTGCGGCATCTTCGCCGGTCCCTGTCGGGGTTGTGAGTAAGTGGTGTTGCGGATAGATACCCCTCCAAAAAGTGAAGAGAATAAGAGTACGCACAATCCCGCGTGCCCTTTGGTACCTTGAGCGTAAAGTTCTTGCCCTTGTCTTCCTTGCCCATTTCGTCGTCACTCAGCGACCAGGTCTGTGTGGAGAGTCTACGGTGGGGGGCGGGGGTTACAAAAAGGCGTACGCGGCGGAAAGCTATTGTTTGTATGAATTTGCGCGAGACAAAAGTAGCAGTACTGTATCGCAGGACGTCTTGTCGTAGTATGAGCGCGGGGCAGGCAAAGTGGGGTGAAATGCGCGGCATGGACTGGAAATAAAAAAAGTGACTCAATTCGCCAAAGAGCAAAGCGGCCGCCGCTGTTTGGAAAAGATTCGGGTCTGCACGTAGAATGGTCCGTGCTTGTTTACGTCACTGCCCAGATTGTATGTCTACATACATGTGTAAATTGATTGTATGTAAACAGAAGTCTATGTATTAATTTTATAATCGCTATAGGGGTATCTAAACACGCTTCATGCTTTCACCATGCCTTTCGAAACTGTAGCAAATCCCTCTGTCCATAACACTCGGCGACAACCGTCAGAATCATGTCGATTGCCGCCCGTGTTTCTACATCACTCTCGGTTAAAGGTGTGCTCTGTAGCCCTGCACCCTTGGTCTGTGCGGCATCAGATGTAGAGACTAATGCACGTGTGACATTCTCTTTTTGAGGCTTGTTGTTGCGCATCTCCTGTCGTTGTCTCTCGGCCTCTACTCGGGAAAGCAACTTGAAATTTGATGCTGCAGGTGGCTCGACTGGTGCGTCTGATGGTGGGACTGCTGGCTGCACTAAACGGTCTCCAAGTTGGGCGAGAAGGCGGGCTCTGGCTTTCTCAAGGGCTCCGTCTTCAGCTGCATCTGACGACTCTGCTTCATCTTCTGAGATGGCCATTTCTGCACCAGAATCGCCCGCATTGTCATCCATGACCTCTCCGCTTTCCAAGCCGCTGTCCGCGTTGACGATCGAGTCGCCATCTTCTTTCACAAGTGCAGAACTTGACTTGTCTCCGGATTCATCATCAGGCTCGTCGTCTCTTGTTTCGCCCTCTGGAGCACATTGCTCCTCTAGACTCCTGTCAGAGAGCCTTTTCACCAGACGGCTAGCAGCGAGACCTAGGTCCCGAATCTTGCCGATCCTCTCATGATCCAAAGTTCCAAAGTCTCCCGTCAAGGCCAGCAGTGTCCATATCCAGCAGCTCTTCTGACGTGATACCTCGATAGATCGATCCAATGCGAGTGCACAGCCATGCAGAGCCACATATAAAGTCGATTCATCCATTTGGGTGACTTCCTCTAGTGCAGGATAGTCGCGACCAATGGCTTCAGCCCAATAGTGCTTTCCAGACTGATCACGTCGTTTGGATTTTCTGAAAGCTGCTGTTTTCGCCGAAGGTAGCTTATGTTCCCGGATTGCAGAGAGTCTGTTGCGAAGAGTGTAGAATCGCCGCACGAGTGCCCATTGACAGCTCTCCTGTGGGTCGAGATCCTCTACGTCTCCGTCCCAGTACTCCGATGCACCTTCACTCTCGCTTTCTAGAGCAACCCAGGTACCGTCGTTGTATACAGTACGCTGTGTTCTTACGGTCGGTTTATTGAAGTTGCCGTTGCCGTTGCCATGATCACTGCTAGTGCTGTGCACATCGGTCGGGGCTACGAGGAGGGTGGGTATTGCTGAGGCTTCAGATCTGGTCCACGATGTAAGTAATAGCTCTTTGCTTTTCGTAGATATGTGCGCAAATGTCGCAACTTGAAATAATTACCTGACACTTCTAAGGTATGCCACTGCCTCGTCTATTGACTCGTCTGTCAAATGCTCCTCTCCCTCAAGTCCTGGAAGCACCGAGCGTACGCCTGGCTCACGGAACTGTTCATTGGTGCGTGATTTCCCCTTGGCGCGCGAATTGTTGCGATCGGTTTTTGCGCGCTTCGTGTCCGACGCGTTTTCCTGCTCGTGCTTTCGCTTGCTCCCAGGAATAGCCAGAGCAGGCACACCAGATGCAGATGGCGGAGGGGGTTGTGCCGATATGAGGTAATCGTCGGGCCGCGATAACTTGTTGTAGGTCTCTCCGTCTTTGGTAACAGCCAGATTCGCACCAGAGGCTGCCATGTTGGCGGTGGAGAAGTGCAGTACCTAGGCATTCAGGAAATGTGAATGCGGAGTTAGGGACGGAGGTGGACCAAGCTGGTCTAGCGTCATTTTCGCCTTCTCCGTCTGTAGATGAAGTAATACGGAGCAGGCTACTGCGCACCATTGGAGTAACAAGTGTTACTACATTGTTTTCGAATACAATTTAGGTTGTGTGCAAGCTACGAACTGCACTTACAATATCAACATATAGTACTTGTTTGTAAGTGTTGGATCTGCTGGTCCTGAAGATTGATGAATCGTTTCGTCTTAATACTCCTGTGATAATCAATGACAGTCGCTAATTATGCAGCCTCTTCAAACACCTAATACAACATGTCGTCCACAACGGTGTCTTGAGAACCTATTGCACCCTTGGCTTCTCGAGAATTCACCGGTTTTAAGGTGGAAGAGAAGATAACAACATTAGGAATAAGAGACGGTCTTTTATACGTAGGTAACCTTGACTAGACTAGTTGGGCCCTTACATGTGCTACGCAATGACACCTCGAGTCCTCACCAGGGTTGATAGTCCCTTGCAACTAGTGCAGCGTGACACACATCGTCGGCAGGCCAGTGACCATGTGAACATGTATGGTAGGGTAAGGCGACTAATGCCCGCACTGCAGGATGATCGACTAGGTGCAGACAGATAAGTATGAACTGGAGACTGCTCTTCACAAAGGATAGTAGAAGATAGCATTAGACGGTGATATAGGGTTGCATATACTATTTCTAACACTATGTGAATCATCTCAAAGATCATGTATTGCAACCGGCTTACTCTATCCGTCAGTTCGATTACCGGAGTCTCACTGTCCTGGCCAGTCTCCTAGTGTGTAGTAGCACTGCATTGGTGCGTTCTTTCTCGTTGGGTTGCAGGGGCGCACACGTCTCTCTAGGTCTCGCAGTCCCAGCCACAGCCACCCTAGACCGGCGTTGTTTACTGCGTGATAATGAGACTCGTGCACAGTGAAGTCTGCAGTTGACTTGTATTATGGGACAGATGACTGTGGTTGCACGGGCAGTGTACGGGTTGCAGTACTTATGTGTGGTTGCGGCTCTGACGCTCGTAGTTTGTGTAGCTGATGGTCTGGCACGCGTTGCTCATGACGCAGGCCCGAAAAAGCAAAGCAAAAAGCTTCTTGCGTCGTTGGGCGAAAGGCAAGTAGAGCCTGTGCAAAACATCCGCAAATGACCTCTGCGTAAATGCGATGCGGCCCCTGCTGTAGCTGCCACTTAGCTCTCATACGAGCTGAATCCTAATATCCGCCGCTTTCTTGTTCGCCGCGAATCATTGAGTCGATGTCACATCTACGTAAAGGTTGGCGTAAGTGTGCGGCCAGAGAAGCCAAGGACTGGTGTTTAGATCTACCGCCACTACAGAAACGGGCTGAGGAGGGGTTTTCGGTCGTGCAGATATGTTTTGAGACTAGAAAGGTGACGACAGAAATGCGTTTTTAAGATCAATTGCAATGGAGGAGGTGGGAGAAGTTGACACGTGATACTAATGCTAATTACCAACAGCTGCTCGTCCCTGGCAAAGTCGAAGACGGTGGCAAATTCCCTCTTTAAAAAGCTCTTGAAGTATTGAAGAAATGCGCAGGATGCGAATTCAGCAATGGTGTTGAACTGATATGTTCGTCAACTCCTTTCTGAGCAGTGACGATATTTCGGCGATACACTGACCATACCCTGCAGCATACCTATCAAGAACTCCACATTACGTTGAATAAGCCGCCGGCAGCACTCTAGATATCAAAGCTCTTGTCTCCTACGGTGGTGGAAAGTTCACCACTATCGGCTCAACACCACTTCCACCCCAATTGATACACATAGCGGGGCTGCCAGATACTCGTCGTCGTGAGTCGTGTTCGCTAGTCCCGGGACCGTCTTCGGAAAATACGACACCACTCCCGGAAAACGTATTCAGGTCTCACTGATACGAATATGCAAAGAAAGAGTATGCATGGGTACTTCCAAGCGATGAGAACTACCACAAGCAAAGCGCAGGCATTGCGCACACGAGGAGTCTGACTTTTCTGAAGCCGTTGCTTGGTGGGCCATTCTTTAATCTGGGGGCGGTGTGGGAAGAGCATACGAAGTTCAAGTTTGGGGAGAGAGATGCTGCGAAACCAATGGCTACAATGGTGGACCAGCCGTATGTCAATCACATACCGACTATGACGTACATATCCATCCAGCACCATTATTGAGCGTCGATACCGTGTCTGAATACGATATACTAATAACTGGGCAGCGGAGGGGTGGGTCAGGAACGACTCACAGCCTTTTACACTCACCACGTTGTCTTCAGCAATCCACCCGATACTGCCCTCTCTCTCGTCTCACGCACCGTAGGCATCGACCGCGTGATTGACGAATTCATCTTCACCCTCACACACACACACACACACACACACCAAAGAAGTGCAATAGCTCTTGCCCAGTGTCCCTCCCGCCGGCAGGCCCCTCGCCATTCCCTTCACCAGCGTCGTTGCCATGCGCGGCGATCGACTGTGTCACGAGGATATCAGCTAGGATCATGCGACGGCGCTCAAACAGTTAGGATTATTGCCAGAGTACGTCCCTTTTCCATACGAGACTGAGGGAGAGACCAAACCGGAGGGGAAGAGGTACGTGGTGAAATTGCCGGTTGTGGGAATGGAGGGGAGTAGGAAGTTGGTGGATGAGAGCTGTGAGGAGAATAACACAGTGATGGGTGGTAGATGGCGAGTGGTTGACGATGTTTAATAAGAGATTCCCAGGGGACGGGAACGAAGAACGGCCCGATGGTCTGATACGATGGGTCGCAAATCGCGGTATCTTCGGAGAAACGTAGAGGCAGTTGGCGTGAAGGCCGCAGATCAATGCTATTTTCTGTGTCGCGACTAGTGCTAGCGTCCGGGCAGTGTTTGCATGGGTATGCGAACGCCCTTCCAAAAAGGTTCCACCATCGTCCATGAGCCAGCGATTTTTCTAGAAGTTCACCAAGGAGGGCTAACCCTCACTTTTGTTGGCTACCAGCCTCAGCCATGCCACTTCGTAAACCCCATACTAAATCACGTAATGGTTGCTTGCCTTGCAAGAAGAGACATATCAAGGTTTGAGCAGGCTGTCCCCTTGCACAACTACAATGCTTGCTGATAACTTCCGAACAGTGCGGAGAGGAGATACCTACATGCCAGAACTGCATCTTTCGACGAGTAGATTGCGCGTATGGATTAAATGCCAAAGCTAGTCGACATGATCTTTCTAGAGCTCCAAGTTCGGACGCTACCGGATCCCCAACCCGCTTCCCGCATGAGGAGCCACCATGGCAAGCAGGGAAGCTTTGCGCACATGATCCATCATCGCAATCAACAACTGGTGTTTCCAGACGACAAGAGCTGCAGCTGATGGTGTACTACATAAACAGAACGAGTCGAACCCTGGCACATGATGCAGCAGAACTTCTTGTCTGGACGGAAGCCATTCCAGAAGAGGCTGTGCAGTATGACTTTCTAATGGATGGGCTTTTGGCGATGGCGTCGCTTCATTTCGCATTTTACAATCCGGACTCGCGTAGGCAATACACCGAATTTGCGATACGATATCAAAACGAGGGTTTGCAAAAGTACAACAAAACTCTTGGGGACATCAACGAAACAAACTGTACTGCCCTTTTTGCTTTCTCCATGCTTATAAATGTGATGGCCATCGCCTTGCCAAACGCAGATCCGGATTCCGCATACTCAGCGCAAACCGAAAGCCTGATGACCATGCTTGAACTCGGGCGAGGTATAAGAATCATACACTCGAAATTCGTTCCCCTCCTTACCAATGGAAAACTGGCATCATTCTTCCGACCCTCACCAGGGGATTTGGAGCCCGATGACGAGACACAAGCTGCGTTGGAAAAGCTGCGTCAACATACAGATAGCCTTCTGCATTCCAATTCTATCGAAGAAGAACGTCATGCTGTCTATGCCTCAGGAATCCGGAGTCTTGGACTCGTTTTCGGGTATATGACGACCTCAAGTCATCTGGGGCGCGTCATTGGCTGGCCTGCGATGATCTGGCCAGCAGAACACAGGGAGGCGCTCATGAAGTTGATCCGACATGGCGATATCATGGCCCTAACCATTTTTATGCATTACGGTGTACTTTTACTCCATATCCGGCATCTTTGGTGGGGGGCGCGTACTGGAATTAGCCTCATCGATGACCTGGCAATCTTGGTACATGCTGCAGGTCCTAATTGGGCTGCGTTGACCGAGTGGCCAAGGGAGGTTGCTAGACAAACTGAAGATGGTGGTCGAGGCGCTTTCCAATTTGATGACTTGTTGCCGGGAAGACTCGCCTAACAGCCTTTCTTCACTGCAGAATCGACTCTACATTTACATCAAGGACTCTAACTCCCTATCTGTACTTGGAATGATTTGGAAGCGATAAGTGATTATACTGGTCCAGACTTCACAGTGAGATGAAAAAGGAGGTGCTTAATCAAGACTAAGGTGATACAAGGGTTGCGCCACGCAAAGGTTCTATTATAAGCAGCTGTCCCGGCTGTGTAACATATTCTCTCGCAATCAGGCAGGTCAAAAATAACTATACGGATCCGTCGGTGTAAACAAATCAGCTCAGTGCAGGGAATAAACCGATACTACTCGCCGCACCGCCCTCCCTTGACCCTTGCTCAGCAGCGCTGCAATGTCACTTGGATGAACCCAAGCCATCCAAACCATCGTAGCGAATATGAGCACAGCATCGAATACATAAAGGAAGACCTCGTGGGATATGAGATACCCTGAGTTACCCTGCGCATACCCAGTCAGTCGGAAGATGCACCGCACAAGAATAAATAAGCTGGCTACGTAGAGTGCATACAGCTGTCTTTCCCATGGCAACGACTGGGAATATACTTGTGACGTCGGCTGCTGGACAAGACGGGCATGGAAGATGACACAGGCAGTGATGAAGAAGCTGAAAAAGAGATGCTGCACTACTAGGCCAGCATTGATAATCTTCTCTCTAGTATGTATAGATTCAATGGAGCCACTTGCCATTATACCCCCACCTAGGTCCATGCGTCAGTCATTGCGTCGATTTATATCCTGGAGATTGGAAAACACTTACCGGCTCCCTGCATCATGAATGATAATACATCCCCCTCACGAGTAACTTTGTGAGCCATTTCTTGGGTATGAGTGAATGTGACTCGCCGTCGGTCACCAAGATGATGCGGCCAAGCATCATGTAGATGCTTGCCGCGAATAGGGCGGGGGCGCAACCAGAAGGAGGATAGTCGAGAGTGAGTAGACTGCGACCGACTAATTAGGGGACTCTTGGGCGGAAATGGCTCTCTGTAAAACACACCCACCCACCCGCACACACACACACACACACACATTAGTTTTGCCGTCCTTTTTACGCTACAATTTCTCGTACGTACTCTAATATACCTGACAACCTCGACTGCGACAAATTATCAGCTTATCTCTTCACGACGAACACAGAGATTGGGTGTAGCTTACAAATGCCGCCAAGAACGAAAGGAATGGAAATCCAAGTCCGGGTTCGCATCATTTGATAAAAGTGCAACGTTGTGATGAGGAAGAATAGGATGACAAAGATGACGGCCGCTGCCATCGAAGGATTGTAGCGGTAAAGCTTGAAATCGACTGTCTCTTCTGCCATGATGATATCGTTAATTGAAAATAATACGAAGACAAGTGGTATTGAACGTGGAAACGTGCAGTAGAGCAAAGTGAACAATTTTTGGAAGCCTATAATTCCAAGTACCCTAATCAACCTGTCCTACTTGTAACGTCCGACCTAGACTATCTACGTACGTTCCGTCGGCTGAGCCATCTGGTACAGTATTCCATGGTGCGTATGCGTATTATGTGATACGCCCAGGGGCAATTTCTGCTAGAGTTGCGAAACCACAGTACATCGTCCGGGTAATGTTGGGCGATCTAGGAATAAGGTTCGGGCTGACTAACGGGCTAGGGATAGTCGCCCCATTAGCGGGCCCACTGCGCATAGAGCGTATGCGTATGCGTATGCGTATGCGTATCGCCCCACTTGGCGCCCGGTATAGTGTCAGACTTGTCGAGATGGTACAGAAGTACGCAGCGTAGCTGGGTCTTCCCGATGGTCGTTAGATTTGTGCTTTAGTATGGTTCATAGTTGCCATGGCTTTTCGAAGAGATCTTAGGATAGTTTTTTTGCTGCACGGGTTTAAGGTATGTACAAGTACGACTGGAAGATTACGTCTTAAGGCGATATCTAATCGTTTTAACCATAAGGCATAACGTTTATAGTTTGCACGGTTGCTTTCCTGACTCTCTTGCTGCTCATTGTACTTGTACATTGGCATGCAGTATGATTGTAGTAGCTTTCTGTGCAATCTAGTCGTATTTCTACCTTGTACCGTCTTGAACGATACTGTGATATACCTACACATAGCTGGAAGTGACACCAATGAGGGATGACAAAGAGAGCCCGCTACCCACGGGACACCATTTGACGTTGTTACCACGTGACGTCTGAAATAACGTGATACAGCATTATCTAGCTAGCATTCATTGACAAACTCCTCTAGATCACTATGAGTCGCATAGAAAGCTCCCTTTGGTTTGTAGTTCTCATCAAACATGAGCGGCTTTGCGCCTGGCACCCAAGTGTGAGCATGCTTATCGGTAAAGCCCCAGAAGTTGATATCTGTGATTCCTGCCTCCAAAGCCTCCTTGACGACGGCACCATAGATCTGAGTCTGGAGTATTTATTGAGTGTGTGCACATCCATTTCGGCGATTTCGACTTGCAGCCCGAGCGCTTTGTAGAAACGAACCATGTCCGTTATCACGCCGGGTACTGGAGCGACTTCGGTAATATGCATTTGCAGGGCAACTCCATCGATTGGAACGCCGTCTGCAACGATTCTAAAAACCAGGTCTTCAAGCTCTTGACGCTTGCCGGGAAGCACTTCTACTTGGTTTTCGTTGATGTATAGCTTGGCTCCAGGGGATGCAGCCCGTGCGATACCGAAGGCTTCGTTGATGTAACCCGGACCAAGTTGTCTGGAGAAGTCATTCGCATTTAAGCCTCCACCCATTGTTTTAAGAGCCTCAGTGACTACGTCCCATCGGTCGATCCGTCCTTCGTACCGGTGCATGATAGCTTCGAAATGAGTCGTCATCGCAGCACGCAACGCTTTGGGATTGGTGATGTTGACTACAAAGTCGGGATTGCAGCAGCTCGAGATGAGTCCGTGCCCTTTGACTAACATGCCATGTTCGTTGGCGAAGTCAACAAGACGGTCGATGGGATCCCAGTTGTAATGGCCTGGCATAGGGTTGATGAAAGACCATTTCATCTCATTCTCAGGATGCAAGCTGTTGAATTGCTCAGCGAGAACAGCCGCGAAGACAGGATCTTCAAGGTATGTCGGGTTGATAGCTCCAGATCCAATTGTGATGTTCTTCTTATGCGCCTTTTCTCTCAGCGCCGTAGTGCCGGTGGTGGGGATTGCAATGCTCGCTTTGACGGCGGTAAGGAGTAACAGAGTGGTTGTCGTGATACCAAAAACTTTGAAATTTGTGCTGAAGGCCATATTGCTAAGTTCGCGTGATTCGTGTCGTCTGCGCTGCTTGTTTTTTGTGCTATGTGCCTACTGCATCGGAAGGCTTAAACGATTTTTATATATGAATGAAATAGGAGTCTTGCCATGCTGTAGCCATGTCAGACTCATCCGCTGGAGTATCTTGAGGTCGGAGGCATAGTACAATACGCGTCGACGGCACTTGCCAGACAACGATAATACTAAGCAGCGTTGGCCGAGTTGTGCAGCTAGTACATGGTCAACCATACTAGCAAGCTTAGTAGCTTCGACTTTCGCAAGCTGGCGCTGATTGGCTGAAACTGGGGTAGCGGCGGCGGTCACTGCTCGGTGACGCAACACACCCCTACAAAAGCTGTGCTCAGCTCCAGACAACGCCAGTGCACATGCCTTCCAAACAAATACGCATACGCATACGCATACGCACAATACGCTTTAGTGTGTTCTTTAGAAGCCGTCTGATATGTCTCGTCACTCTTGTCGGCAGGCCATCCGCCAACATTACTTCTTTCTTACACTTGAATATTCTCCATCGACACCATGGAACCGGAAAAAAGGCTTTCGGATTTTGCCGAACTTCCCGGTGATATACCGATAGGTTGCAGGTTCACAGGCCATGAAAGTACAGAGATAAATCGTGATCGACAGCCTATAAAGCTCAGCAGTCACCAGGAATCTTCTTCGATAAACGCATCAGCGGACGCACACGATGATGGAAAGCTCAAGGCCGGCAGTAAGACTCACGATTCCTCGGTTCATCAGTCGGATTGGAACTCATGTTTTCTAGGCGATGGGCGCATCAACATCGATCTGAATTCGAAAGCTGTGAGGACGCTTTCGCTGCTCTACGGCGATGCACTTAACGACATACCGGAAGATGCGCCACCAGAGTATTCAGAATTACCAGATGGACCGGATCGCTACAAGTCGTGGCCTGTCAAACTGAACATTGTCATCCAAGTTGTAGGCAGTCGAGGAGACGTCCAGCCTTTCATCGCGCTTGGTGACGAGCTTCGGCGGTATGGCCACCGAGTGAGGCTAGCGACCCATGACATGTTCCAAGATCTCGTGCGAGGCTCCGGTTCTGGACTGGAGTTCTACCCAATCGGCGGTAATCCTTCAGAATTGATGGCGTACATGGTCAAAAACCCTGGTCTGATTCCTAGTCTCGAGAGCTTGCGGGCTGGCGAGATCAAGAAGAAACAGATGATGGTCAGGGAGATGTTGGAAGGGTTCTGGAGGTCATGCATCGCACCAGACATCATGAGCCATTCGCCATTCGTGGCAGATGCTATCATTGCCAACCCACCAAGCTTTGCACATGTCCACTGCGCACAGGCTCTTGGAATTCCCGTTCACATGATGTTCACTATGCCATGGACAAGTACGCGAGCATTTCCACACCCACTAGCGAATCTGAAAAACGCCGAGGGCAAACAAAGCGCTGCAAATTACCTATCATATGGGGTTGTCGATTGGCTAACATGGCAAGGGTAAGTTGTTCATACAAGGTCGACATAGAATTCCTCGTTGCACAGACTAGATGATACTAACCTGGGATTTAGACTTGGTGGCGTCATCAACCAATGGCGCCAGACGCTGGACTTGGAACAGGTGGGCATATTCGATGGCCCTAGTCTTGCGACCACACTGAGCATTCCCATGACTTACTGCTGGTCTCCGGCTCTTGTACCGAAACCCTTCGACTGGCCGGCCCACATAGATGTCTGCGGTTTCTTCTTCCGGGATCCTCCTTCGTACGAGCCACCAGCTGAAATTCGGTCCTTCATTGAGAGTGGACCGCCACCTGTCTACATAGGATTCGGCAGCATCGTTCTTGAAGACCCTCAAAGAATTACCGCAGTCATATTAGAGACTGTAAGAGCGAACGGATTTCGTGCTATTGTGTCCAAGGGATGGTCAAAGTTGGGAGATCATGGAGAGTCTCATGAAGATATCATCTTCATTGGTGATTGTCCACACGAGTGGTTGTTTCAGCATGTGGCCGCAGTGGTGCATCATGGTGGCGCTGGAACGACTGCATGTGGTTTGCTGAACGGCAAGCCCACGACTATCATTCCGTTCTTCGGAGAGTAAGTCAGATTGTCCACTCCGTTGCGTCGGCAGATTTGCTAATAAGTCAGTAGTCAACCATTCTGGGCCCAGATGGTAGCTACTGCTGGTGCTGGTCCGATGCCTATTCCTCAACGAGACATAACGGCCGAAAGCCTGTCTCAAGCGATCAGATTCTGTTTATCACCTGAAGCGGCGAGCGCAGCTGCAGTCATTGCACAGAAGATGCAATCTGAGAGAGGCGTCGAAGCTGCAGTCATGTCTTTCCATCGGAATCTCCCATTCAGAGACATGTCTTGCGATGTACTACCACACCTACCGGCAACTTTCTGCTTTGACAAGAAAGGCCACAGGATGAAGCTTTCTACCTTGGCTACAGAAGTTATGACACTGAGATTCTCAAAGGATGCCAAGCATCTAAAATTGTAGGTTTCGCCCTTATCACTTGGTTCTTCGATAAGCATTTCCTGCATCCGATCGCTAATTTATGGACAGATACGAGAGCAGACCCATTGTCATAGAGCCTCGACGATGGGATCCCATCTCCGGTGGAGCGTCCGGAGTCCTTGGCACTACAGTCGATCTTGCGACATGCGTCACAGGAGTTTTCACGAAACCAATAACGGAGTATCGAGACGATCGCGACCGACGTGCCTACGAAGACTCAAAGCTAGAGGCTTCGGAAGCGTCCAATACCAGTATTAATCATATCGACCAATCGAAGCAGATGTCTGACAGCGCAAGTGCTGAAACATCGGCAAACAGCGTTGTTCCGAAACGTAAAGCCATCTCAGCAGGTCAACTGGCAGGTGCGTCCGGAGCAAGCATTGCCATGTTTGCTCCAAAGGCCCTAAAAGGTATGACAGTCGACATTCCTCTCGCAATTACCGATGGTCTCAAGAATGTGCCTCGACTCTACGGCGAAACACCTCGTGACCACGGGCCTGTGACAGGGTTCAAGAGTGGCGCAGCTGTTGCAGGCAAGACTTTCGCGTGGGGCTTCATTGATGGAGTGAGTGACGTTGTTGTAAAGCCATACCAAGGTGCTCAGGAGGAAGGTTTCAAAGGCGCTGCAAAAGGGGTGGGCAAAGGAATAGCTAACATGGTCACAAAGACCGGTGCTGGCATGTTCGGTCTTTTTGGTTATACAAGCGCAGGTATTGCAAAAAGCTTGAGAACGGCAGTCTACACGAAGACCAGAAAAAGTATTGCTGAAGCGAGACATGAAGAGGGGAGGTGGCTAGTTGAGAACGACGAACATAGTACAGAAGAGGCTGAGAAGATCATTACGCGTTTGCTAGCACGGAGAGGGGATAAGCAATGAGAACGAGCCAGGGACTTTATAGGAGAATGTCTTTTTGAAAGCGATGAAGAAAATAATAATTAACGCAGACATTGGAGCGACTATATTGCTACAGAGTACAGAGTATTGAGAATTGGGCGATTACGCCAGCTGTCAGTGCAGAAAAGAATTGACGACTGCTTAATGGATGCCGGCAGAGCATGAAAGCTCCAACATATCAGGTGTTAGATGTAGTTGCTTTGGACCGAAGTGCTGAAGCTCTGAGTTTTTGGTCCGGGTAGCTAATCTTCTGAAGACAGAACCACTGTTCGGTATCGGAAAGAAAGGTTTTGACCCACGCGAAGCGCAAGCTGCTGCAGCAGCGACAATGTGAGGAGGACAGGAAGGTTGCGAGCCCGATACTGGTGGCAACCCATCCTTAAACTAGTGCGCTGCTATTGCAGCGAGTACTATGATACGCATACAGGAGTCTTGAATGACCGTTAATGGTCTTTTGGGGCTATGGTGGTGGGGGCTGCGGACAGAGTCGCGATTCATGAAAACGGGTAGTAGTGACCGAGGACGGACGTCAGCAAATTGACCTCAACACAGAACCGCAAGTTTTGACGGACCGCGAGGGAGAACTAGCTCCCAGTTTCCAATGGTCTTATTTGCCAGTAGAAACGGGATTAGTGAATTACATCCGCGATTTTATGATTAGGGTTAGGTTTAGGGTTGGGGTAAAGAACTCTAAAAGGACTCATGTGATGCTATCGGTAACCTCAACTTAGCACGGAACATGAGAACTTTACACACCCTTCCGCACGCCATATAGAGGTATCAAAAATGGAAAAGATTGATGCACTCACGGCACTGAAGAATGATTTTCGTGCAGGTATGTCAGGGTGTGAGCGTGAGTGCGGGGCTACTTTCCGCTCAACTTCACAATTGCATCTATTGAAGTGCGGCTATCGAGATTGTCGATGCACTGTCTCGCTACTAGGCTGCCGCATCTAGTGTCTCGAATCTTGTTGTCGTCGCACGCGCCCACCACATGTTCACGCGCAATGATGCGGCTCTTATACCACGGAGAAGATGGGGAGCTCAGTGTCACTGCCGACCTAGTCGATAGACCTGATACCTCCTTACGCGACAGCTTGCAGTCCTTCTTGGTCGACACCTGCTGCATCAACAAGGCGAACAAGACTGAGCTCTCGTTGGCCATCCGTTCCATGTTTCGCTGGTACCGTGACGCAGCTCGGTGGTAGAAGGCAAAGTAGTCCTTAATGCTGCGAGCGACGTGATTGCCAGCATAACTACAACTGTTGTATTTTTCTTACTGCATTATAGAACGCGAAAGAGAAGTAGCCAAAGAACAAGAGCACACCACACACGGATTTGTAAATGCGGATGGGAAAGGTTAAGTCGTCTAGATGATTGGTCTGTCTCGCTGAGGGGCTTTTCTCGCTTGTGGGCAGGAGTCGTTACTACTACATTCAGCTATTGATGACAAAGACCTCCATGCAGGCATTTCAAATTTCTTCACTGGGCTCTTCCTCTCTAGGCATCTCATATCCCTTCTGCAGACACAACAAGTGTTTTTCCTGATGCAGAGCATCCCCGCCGTCTCGGTAAGCCCTCAGAATTCCAGAGTTGCGATCATTCGCTTGGTTAACCATAAGCTCGATAGCATCCGTAGCGTACCGCTCAAGGCGTTTCTCATTGATTTCTTTTGCCTCATGCCGAATTTCATGGAGATGCTTAAGCCAGTACATCCATCGCCACGGTGTGAATCCCGCTGGTGATCGCTTCCCAAGCTCCGACTCGATGAACCACTGACCACCTTGACCTATCGTGCTCGGACAATCATTCCAGTAGACATCCGAGAGTTGGACGAGATTGTAACCAGCCTCCTTGAACCACGCATAGGCCGCTGGCAACAAGTGTGCAATATCGAGATGGTCAATTTTTCGACTCTTCTGTTCCTCATCCAGCTCCTCCGAGTAGCGAAGTTCTCGTCTGTCTTCGAAAGTTGAGCGAAATAGGACGAGGGCGATCTGACATATTCGGTCCTTGCTAACCCTAGTTGGGACGCTGCGTTCCCGACATGGGCGCGCAATTGTTGATCCAGAAGTCGGTCATATCCGTGGCCAAGAAGGGTAGATCGTTCCACAGTGTACCTTCGACTGTTCGTGCGATATAGACCCCGTACAAACCAGGAACGGGCCTAGTCAATGGACCTTGGCCCTGAATGCGGACAATGTCGAGGACCAGGCGATCTTGGTCAGTCGTTTCGTGCGACTTATGTCGGCCGAGCTGATAGTACATGTGCCACAGGGAGTGGAGGTAGCCTTCTAGCGAGTCCACGCTATCCCCTATGCTACAGCATCGATTACTAATGATTGAGGTTCGATTGTAGAACGCTGCTTCCCGGACTTCATCGATTTCCCCCCCGAGTAGTGCATTCACGCATATCCTGTCGGTCATGTGCGGCGTCGTCTAATATAGTGAGCTCGGGAGGACCTTTTGGAGAGGAGCTTAACTGGCCATCGCGGAGATGTTGCATTTTGAGATGGCGATGGTGTTAGGAAAGTTGATCAGTCGAGTCAAGTAGTGCTTATAAGAGAAAACGAAGCCGGGTACAATGATAAGAATGAGAAAGGACAGAGGGCATATGAAAAAATAGCCTTTTTGTACCGCGCGGCGCCTACTGGTCCGTCCTATTGGGCCGCCCAGCGAACAGGTTTTGTGAGCACAGTGTGCCCGGATAGTTTCCCAATCCTTGTCCATGTTGCTTCTACGCCGCTCTGTTGCATCTGCATGCATTCGCCTCACCGGATGGCTTTCCTTGTGGCGGGTGTAACCCTACCCAATCGGTTGGTTGGCGTATTCGGTTTGACCGAGTCCGTCGGTTAGGACGGCGCCATGAAGCATGACTTTGGTGCTGTCGGTTGCGATGGAGAAGGAAAGGATGAGCGCGGTCGGTAACCCAGGACGGTCCCGCGTTAGTGTAGCTTGAAGCTAATGAGAGGCAGTTGTGCGTGAATTTTATCCGTCTGCAGAGCTAGGCGGCTGCGTGGCCGTGATATTCGAACTTATAGTTGCGAGAAACTGAACTAAACTGAAGAAATTAGTACCCGATTAAACCCTTGGGTTTTTCTGACAGGCCAATTGTCAGTGCATATCTGATTATAACGAACAAAATGTAGCTGGGAAGAACGTCGGGCGGGACAAGTCCCTATGGCTTGTTCCTAGGTACGCGACCAGTCAGCACCTTGTCGTTGTCAGCGGCGCCTACAGCCTCAAAAACAGTCAAAGTATTATGATCGACATCAAAGTGATTCTTAACCGTAATGCAATGACCTCCGATGCCCCCATCCAGGTCCACAAACTGCAATTCCTCTAGCGTCCGGATAGCCTTCTAGTCGCCAGTGTTGCCAATGCGGTAGTAGTTAGATGAGCATATCTGGCAGTTCTTACCGGAGCTGTGAGCGTTATTAAAGGCGACTGATATTGAATGCATGGTATTAGTATTGGACAAAGTCTCGCTGCAGGCTATCGCTATCGGTCTTCTTCACTTGGAATCAGTCATGTTCAGAGTGAAACTCCCCCCCGCATGACCAATCTTGACTGTACCAACCCAGTCTGTCCACGTTCGAATCTCTCTCGAAGACAACCAAAAAAACGTAATCTTCCGCTAAGAAAAGCACTGTTTTTCGAACTCTTCCTTTCGGCTACAGGAATTCAAACAGATGGGGCTCTTGACTAATTGAAAGGCCTCTCTCTCGCATCATGTCATCCCTATAACAGTCTCCCAGCAGTTCATAACGTTGTCCAACAGGCCTTACCACAAATGGAACAGCACATCCCGCGAGAATACATATACGATCAGTCGGCCTGGTTTCTACAGGAACCCAGGCTAGATGCCTTTGCCTTGTAATGCAGAATTTCCGGCCAGCTGATAGCTCGGAGAATCTGCTTTCGTACAGCCTGCCATGAAAGCCTGGTTCACTGTGACTTTGCAGAAAACTTGGGTGATAGCGTGATCTTCTCGCCAAGTTTTCAAACTTCCTGAACAGTGCCTGGAACCCCCTCATGTAGTCCTTATCTGGTGTAACTGTTTCTTCAAGATGCACACCAAATACCATTGCACGGCAAAACTCTTGAGAATCGACTTTCTTAACTGAACGTAGAGGAATCGACATTGCCTCTACATAACACTGATACATCCAATCCAACATGTATTTGGCCGGCTTCTGGTTGTTTGAGTCTTTACCGACAGTCATTAGCGAGAGCTGATCCATATATGGCCTTGAATCGATGATTATGTCAGGTTCGTCCCAGACAATCCCTGATATAGACAACGTCTGGAGAATTAGCTCTTTCGTGCAGGAAGCTCAAGAGGAAACTCACTTTGTCTTTGACAATAGCATGGTCATAAGGATACGTGAAAGTTGCAGTGCCCGTGTAATAGCGTGTCAAGGGAACAAAATATAATCCGATAGGCTTCCAGTCCGGCACCCAGGTCGGTAAATTTGATGATTTTGGGGAGTGATATTTGCAAGCTAGAAACCTGCTGGCTCGGTGCATGTCATTCGTATGAATTTGGTGCTTTGATGTGGAAACAGTCTTTCCAGTCGATGTGATCCTAGGAACTAGTATGTTGAGAGCCTTTGTTGCAATTTCTGTATAGACGGTCGTTTCATCCTTACGATAATCGATCATGTCCATGTTCACTGCCGTTTGTATCGATAAGAGTGCGAAAACTCGGTCTCGAGAATCTGTGGCTTCCAGTTGCTGGCTCCAGCACCATAGATCGAAGATACGAATATCCTCGCTAGATTGATATATTCCTAGAGCTTGAAATCTTGAAATGTCATTTGTGATCTCATGAGCGTTCATACTATGCCTCATAACAGCTTCTCTGATCGCAATACACACTCCTGTGGCGTATCCGCAATCCACTAGCACTTTAGTTGGAATCTCCAGTGCGCCAGACATGAACACGGATTCCTTCGCATTCAAGAACTCTTGTACAATCCAAGCACGTCTAAACCATGGGCGACAGCACAGGGAGGCCCATCCAGCCCAGCGCCGATCAAAGTAAGAAAGGCCCATCTCCTCCAGAGTCTTTACTCTGTGTCGTTCCAGGTCCGAACGATCCGGATACCGCTTGAGGAATTCTCTCATCAGATTGACTGCATCTTCATCGTATCGTTTCTGTTCTCCAAGCCAGAATATGACCTTTGCGGCGCACTTGTAGATGTCTCTCATCATAGCCACTTGGAAACTCTTCTCTTCTTCGTCCTTTTGGTTGATGCAGATAGCGTCTACCCACAGTAGGCAATCAAACCGCTGTTTCCGTAGCTGCGACAAGACACCCCAAAGATTACGTGTAATCAGCTTCTTGTGCCCATTGCATGTGATCTTGCATGGCGAGGTTGCATCGCCCCAGACATATGAGAGCGCAGTGAATTGCGTTTTTGAGTCGAGGTCGAAAGTTTCGAGAGTGATCTGAATTCTTTCTTTGCCGGTTCCCGATTTGATGCGCAATAGGCGGATGGCTCGTTGGTGCGGAAGCAGTGAGTATAACGTGGCGTCTGGCATTTTGAAGTTGCATCCACTTATTTTGTGCATATATTCTCGAGAGGAAAACACGAGACTACAGCTCCAGGGGATGCCCAACTATTCAAGTTGGTTCAGCGAGGCAGCCGGTGAACTGACCGGATATCCCGTAGGCGAAGTGGTGTCTCACCGTGTGACGAAATCTGGCGTCTGATTCGCCAACCAAGATTTCAACAGAATCCTTCACCACGTCAATATACGAGTTTCATAACCGAGAATCGATGCTATTGGGGTTATCTAGTAATGCACAGCAAATCATCTGACGACCAAATTACCATGTCACTTCGCGAGCAGAGTGTGTTGCCTACTGCTCCATCACCACGTATATTTGGATAACTTAGCAACGACCCCACTCTTTGACAAATCCAATTGGATGGCATCCTGCGCTAGATTTTCCTAACAATTCCCTCGTCATGCGTCTTTCGTGTCTTAGGAATGATAACGAGTTTAGCTTCGAGGAATTTGTTGGCAGGGAAATTCCGCCGTATGCTATTCTTTCGCATACATGGGAGTGCAGTAGCCGTGAATCTTGGGCCTGTGTGGGCGGCTATTGGTACAGAGGTACGTAAACTGCTTACCATTCCGCTTCTGCGACATTTGAAGAGTCTTTTGTTAACGCTAGAACGGAGATTCTAGACATCTGACAATACAACTAGTTCATTTGAGAGAAACAACATTGAAGAAGATACTGATAGGCGAGAGTGTAGAAGATGTATAGGAAGAGTATTTTTTTGGAGAAGTTTGTATCTTGCTGATCAGATGAGGGTCAGTAGTATCCCGTACGGTAAATAGTAAAGCTCCAGTTCCTATGGCCATTAAATTCATTGTTTGACCAGACGCAAAGATCTTCCACTCATTCTTCGGTGGGGGAAGCTATGGAGCACATGAAGGAAGCTGTTCCGAAATTGAATGTCAAGAGGTATTGGTTAGGTCTTATTGAGAGGGCTTACGTGATGTCAGTAATACTATCCTACTTAGACCTAGCTAAGGCACCTCTCATACACTCGGTAAAACCGGAAAATGGCGGCCCTTCTTAGCAGTGCAAAACCACTAAAAACATAGCCAAATTGGCACCTGCTTCCTTCTCAGGCTGCTGCAACTCTCGCAGATGCGCGTTGTTTTGATTTTCCGGTTTTACCGAGTGTATGAGAGGGCACTACCGCACGGATAGAACACAACTGTTTTACTTCTTGCAATAATGCACGTATAAGAGTGATAGGCTTGTGCAGACTATAGGCAGTTTTACTATATTTCTGCCACAACAACCATAAGGACGAGGATACGTTTATCTTCTAGTCTTTACAAGTCAAAATCTGGGATCTCATCTTTAATTAGATCTATGGCTTACGTATACTGAGTGCATTGAAAGTGGTGTGCGAGGACGCGCAATTTATACACAACGTGCACGGGCACACTGTGTGTTTAGCCGATAAGCACAGCATTCCCTATTTTCCCAACGCATCGAGAACCCATGAATTCTACTTAATAGCCGATCCAGGCTAACATCTAGAATAGTCATGTAGGACGGCTTATCACAATTAGGCAGTGGAAGATAAAAATTAGGCGTTATCATGGACGTTCAGGCCAGCAGGGCAGATGCCAGGCGTTAATCATGCATAGCGTCCTTTGCGAAACGATTCACAGGGCTAGCTTCCTAACAGCAGAAAATACCGCAAGCGCTAAGGGCACACCTAGCATGTGCGCTCTGGCTGCTCAGCTTGCGCTGTGATACAGTTCAGTTCAGTTTAATTACACTATGAGAAATAAACTTTACTAATAGGTCACCTTCGGAGGAACTACTTATTGTTATATGCTAGCTGATAGCCGAAGACGGCCCTTTACCCTCCAAAAGGACTTCAGTCTTCTATACAAATAGCAATAGGACATATCAACCTTCACTGCTTTTATCACCTCGCTCTCAATTGTATAGTCTCTGTCATT